GGATGTGACACCTATGGACTATTAGTGGTCTATTCCTAGGGTATATGGTCTCAGAATTTTATATTTGTGGCTCAAATAGGAGGTTTCTATGCTGATTGGTTTCTATGTAGTTTGTGAGCTATTCAGGAGCCTGTTCCTTGGTAGCCTGTTCAAAACCTGCTACCAAGATAGGAGTTTCTGATTAGTTTTGTGGTCTGTGTCCTAGATGTGAGGCATCTAAACTCTTTGAGTAACTGGTGACTGTTTGCAGGTTGTAAGGATTCTTTGGGGGTCTGATTTTTTTTCTGGATCTGAACCCCAAAACATGACATCTATTGGCTCATGGGTATCTCTGTTCATGGCATGAGATTTCTTTCTCTTTTTTTTATAATTTTTTTTTAAATTTTTATTTATGATAGTCACACACACAGAGAGAGAGAGAGGCAGAGACACAGGCAGAGGGAGAAGCAGGCTCCCTGCGTGGAACCTGATGCAGGACTCGATTCCAGGTCTCCAGGATCACGCCCTTGGCCAAAGGCAGATGCCCAACCACTTAGCCATCCAGGCATCCCACACGATGGAAATTCTGAGCCATGTGGGATGTGTTTCCACGTGTGAAGAGTCTGTTCCTATTGACAGTCACTGTCAAGGTTATGATGGCTGTGACCTCTGTTTCCGAGGAGTGGGGTCTCTGAGCTCTTTAGCCATCTGTATGACTGTGTGAGATCACTGTGTGTTCATGGATCTGGGTTCCAGAGCAAGAGACTTCTGAGCTGTTTGGGGTGTTGTGTCCAAAATGTCATGTCCTCTGAGTGGTTTTGGTTAGCTCTCAGGAGATATGATCTCTGAGGTACTTACTATTTATGCCCTAGGGTGAATTTTTGAGCCATTTTGGGGTGTGCATATGATGAGAATTGTTGGAGTTGTTTTGGGCATGTGTCCACTTCTGAAGGTCTTTGAGGTGTGTGATAGGATGTGAGATCTCTATGTTTTTGAGTTCTTCTGTTCTCTAGAGGTCTGTAAGGTTGGGTGGGAGTTGTGGGGGAGGGGTGGTATGGAGTTGTCAGTGTCCAAAGTTTCAGGCCTCAGATTTGTTTTGTGCTGTGCTCAGAGTCTGATATTTCTGAGCTCTTTGAGACACTGTGTCTTGGGGTGTGAGGTTTCTGCAACAATGACCTGGAAACACTACAGCCTCTGAAGCCTCTGAGCTCCTTGGGGGTCAGCATCCTCAGAATTGTGTTATGTCTGTTATGTCTGAGGGTGTGGGATTTTTGTAGTCTTGGGGTCAGCTATGACAGAATGAGATTGATAAGGAGTTTATATTTCTTTTTGCCTCAATGAATGTTTTCTAAGCTGTCAGGAGGGTCTTTTTCCCAGCATGTGAGATATTTGAACTCTTTGAGGCCGTAGGTCCAGGTCTTAAGGCTTCCCAACTTTGTGGGAGTTTCCATCAAGGATGTGAGACCTCATAGCTCTTGTGGGTCTAGATCCCATTACATGAGATCTTGAAGCCATCTGGCAGATGTTTCCAGGTATGAGGTCTTTGATGTTCGTGTGGGTCTTGGTTACAAGAATGAGGTATTTGATTTATTCTGGGTATATTTCCCAAGAGTCTGATATCTCTGAGGTATTTTTATGGGCATGTATGGCATGGCATGAGGCCACTAAGGGCCACTGAGGGGTTTCAGGATCCGTGTCCTGACCTGTGAGATCTCTGAGCTGTTTGGGGGTATGTGTCTGGGGCCTAAGTTCCCAGAGTTGTTTCAGACTTTGTGTTTCAAGGTATCTGAGCTCTTTGGATTCTGAGTTCCATGAAGTGCTATCCTTGAGCCATTTGGGATGTGAAATCTCTCTCCTTTTGGAGATGTCAGTCCCAGAGTGTGGTGTCTTTGTCCTATTAGGGATTACTTTCTTGATTATGATGTCCCTGCTTTATTTGGGGCTGATTTTCAATGATTTATGGGGGGATGTGTCACAAGGTATGATATCTCTATTCTGTATCCCATAGTATATAATATCTGAAATGCTTTAGAGGTCTGTGTTTAGTTTGTAAAGTCTATGAGGTGTTGGGTATCTGTGTCTGAAGATCTGTGCGTAGTTTGGGGGTCTTGCCCTTAGTGGGCAAGTTGTCCCAGCTCATGTGGATCCCAAGTTCCATTGATGTGAAGTTTTTGAGTAATTTGGGGTTTGTTTCCTGGCATGAGGTTTCTGATCTTTTTGGTGGTCTCAGTTCCAGCAAGGGATGTGTGTGATCTATTAGGGCCTATTTCCAGGTGGCAAGGTCACTTAGCTGAATCAATATCTCTTCTTTTTTTTAAAAATTATTTATTTGAGAGAGAGAGAGAGCATGGGCACTTGAGTAGGGGCAGGGGAAAAAGGAGAAGCAGACTCCCCACTGAGCAGGGAGCCTGATACAGGCTCAATCCTAGGATCCCAGGATCCTGCCCTAAGTAGACACTTAACTGACAGCCACCCAGGCACACCTCAATGTCTCTTTTCCAAAGTGTGAGGTGTTTGCGTTTTTGAGTGTCTGTGTTCTTGAGTGTGAAGTCTCTTACAATATTTGGGGTTTGTTTCTAGGGTCTGAAGTCTTTGATCTATCTATTTGTTTAAACCATGTGCCAAGTTATAAGGTCTCTGAAATGTTTCCAAAATGTTTCCAGGTCTGCATCTAAGGTATGGTGTCTCTATTGTTGTGAACTCCATGTTGCAGATTTTGGGGTGCCTGAGATGTTCTGGGGCCTTTGTTATAGGATGTTAAGTCTCTGCACTGTCTTGAAAACTTTCTTCCAGGGTGTGGAATCTCTGAGCATTTGAATGTCCATGTTTCTAAGTATAAAGTCTCATAAGCTGTTTAGAGATGTTTCCAGAGTCTGATGTCACTGGATTATTTTGGGTGCTGTGTCTTATCCTGGGGTGTGAAGTTCCTGAGTTGTTTGAGAAGTTATGTGCAGAGTGTCACCTTTCTGAGCTGTTTGGGGTCAGTATCCCAGGGAGTGGGTCACAAGGCTTATATCCTAATTCTTTGAGCTGTCTGGGTGTGGGGTCTCAGAATACTTTGCAGGGCTGATGCTCATCTTATCTCTTTGAGCATTTTCCCCCATTTGCTCCCCTTGCCATTAACAGTATGTCCTTTAGATAGTCCCTCCAGCAGATACAGATGTTCACCCTCATTGTTTATATCTAGGCCTCTGAATTATTTTATGGTCTATGTCAACAGTATGAAGTCTTTGCCCAGATGTTTTATTTTTATTATTATTATTTTTAAATATTTTATTTATTTATGCACGAGACACACACACACACACACACACACACACACAGAGGCAGAGACACAGGCAGAGGGAGAAGCAGGCTCCATGTAGGGAGCCCGATGTAGGACTGGATCCCGGGATCCCAGGATCACTCCCCTGGCGGAAGGCAGGCGTCAAACCGACGAGCCACCCGGGGATCCTCTGCCCAGATGTTTTAGGTTATATTCCGGGTGGTGAGATCTCTGAGCTGCTTTGGGGTCCGTGTCCCTGTCTGAGGTATGTAAGCTGTTTGGGGATTGCGTCTCAGTGTGAAAGGTCCCCAGGGTACTTTAGGGTTTCAGGGTGTGAGGTTCCTGTGATGTTCGTAGTAGTCTGTGGCCAGAGGATAAGGTCTATTAAATAACTGGTTGTCTATGTCTTGTTATGTGAGTCCTTGGAGCTTTTTGCCAGCCTTTGGTCAGAGTGTGAGGTGTCTAGGCTGTTCTGTGGTCTGTGTCTACCGTGGGAGACCCCTGAACTCTCTCGGACTCTGTGTCCCATGGTGTCAGGTCTCCAAGGTTTTCTGTGCCCTGTGTCCAGTGCTATGACGTCCCTGAGCTGTCTGCGATCTTTCAGTGGCAAGGTCTCAGTGGCGAGGTCTCCTACTGTTAAACGGCCAGCCTGTACTCCGTAGTATAACAGGAATCACCTTGATCAATTTACCCTTTCCCCTCTAGTCGTTTGCTCCTTCCACGCTTGTGCACACAGACCAGTGAATGTGTATTTTCTTAGAACACATATTTAGAAGTGGAATTGCCAGGTCAAAGAACTTATGCATTCAACAAACTCCCATGTGAGTACCTACTGTGAGCAGGGCAGTTTTAGGTGCTTGTGGAGACGCGGGGGCCTGGAAAGCCACGTACACTCTGGTGGTACTAGCGGAGAGGGCTGTCCATTTTCATTTTGATAGATGCTGCCACACAAATTCACACTGCCATCAGGAGATGCCAGTGCCTTTCTCGGGGCCAGGGCTCTGCAGCAAGGGGGTTGGGACACCTTGGCGACGCATTCAGCAAAATCATCAGGGTATGGAGCTGGGACGGTCCATTGCGGGGTGTGTGAGGGGGAGCCTGGAATGGAATAGGTGCACAGGGAAGAAGACACGAGACTCTGCTTAGGCTTAGTTGTGTTGGTGTGAACGGAAGATTGAATGATTCCTGGGACATTGAAATGGAACAGCCCTTCCTAGGCCACACGCAGGAGAGCTTGAAGGGTGGCAATGAAGAGTTAATGACGAGATGGTGCGACTCTGGGACATACCATTGTGTGACAGGGAGATGGAACGGTCCGCTCCGGGAGGTACCACGGGGGCGCGGGGGGTGTCGTGTGTTTTGGAAGAAACCACCGTAGGCGTAGGGACATGAAAGGTTTTCTCGTTTTGTTTTGCATCAAGCATCTGCCGCACTCCAAACAGAGAAGAGAATGGGGCCGCCCAGACCAAACTGAGCCCCAGGGAGGGGGATGGTGGATCCCACCTCTGGCCTAAAGCCTCCACCCATCTGGAAGCCACCACCACACGATCTTAGGTCTGGTTGGCTCTGACGATTCGGATCAACAGCTGGGGTGGTGCGGGGTGGAAGGCTGCGGAGCTGTGATTGGCTCTGCGATGAATAAGGCGGGATCAAGCCCTGTCCTGAGCGCTGATTGGCTGCCGTAAGACTGCTCACCTAAGCCCTTCCAGGGTACCGAGGTTTTCGGGAATCATTTATAGGCTACGAGCGGGTCGTCTGGCTCCGTGCTGCTATTGGCTGCTGACTTGGCGCAGGCGCTATGGCCCCTGCGTTAGCCTTCCCAGTTGCAGAGGCAGGGGTTTGGCTCCTGGAGACCATAGGTTCGAATCCCGTCTGGGAACATCAGTTTGCGCACCTGTAAAGAGGCTGGCATTATAGGCTGGCACAGAATGTGTCGGGTAACCTTTTCTATTCTCTTCTATCTGTTCTGACTCTTTTGAAAACAATGCTTATTGTGTCCCATTATATTGATTTCAGGACCCACTCACTTCACAGCAGCACTGAGAAAAATTCTTCACTGGGGCTCCTGGCATCTGTATTTCAAGGTACCTATAGGTCTGAGTTCTGCAGAGAAGGTTCAAGGTGATCTTAGGATCCTCTTCTAAGACGTCCCCTCCTCCCCCCAGAGAGGATGACTTGGAGGCTTCTTGCCCCCTCTGGACCAGGCCTGACTAAGGGTGTGTGGAGGGGTGTGTGTGTGTGTATGGAGGAATACGGAGAGGAGATGGGACATAAAAGCAACATAAATGCATGATTTTATGCTCTAGGATGGAGGTGTGTGTGGCATTTAAAAGGGGAATTTTGAAGGGGGCAAAATATAATTGCAAAGATAAACTTTTAAGTGATGGGATTTTAGGCATCAGGCAGGGGAGGTGTTTGCCTGAGAGTAGATAAGTAGGAGGAAAGTGGTTCTGAAGCCAGTCAGCTCATTATAAGGTAGTTACTACATGCTGTTTCCAGTTTGGAGGTCTATATCAGAGATTTAGATCTTCCAGGAGTTTGTTGGTTTCTGTCTCAGAGTGAGAAGGCTCTAAGCTGTAGGGGGATCTTTGTCTTGGGGTGTGCAGGGGTTCCTCCCCCTTAAAATTGAATTTCATTTTGGGTTTTTTTTTGGCATTTCTCTGACCACTGGAGGGGCTTATACTGTTTTCTGAGCTTACAGCAAAATGTGTTTTTTAAGTTTTACAAATTCCCTTTTACATCTTTTCATCTTTTTTCCTTTTTAAAAAAATTTATTTTAAAATCATTTTAGACTTAGAGAAAGTTGCAAAATTGTATACAGAGAGTTCCTGTATACCCTTAGCCCTGCTTTTCCTAATATAAAGAACTTACATAACCATAGTACTACTTTAAAACTGGGAAATGAATATTATTGTTTGTGAACTATTGTTCATCTGTTTCATGTCTGTGACCAAGGTGTGAAATATCTGAACTTTTGGGACCCACAGCTCTCTTGGGTTCTGTGTCCTATGCTGTGATGTCTCTGAGCACTTGGTGTTTGTTTCTAGATGCTAGATCTCTTATTTCCTTGGTGGTTTCTGTGCCAGAAAATGATATCTTTGATCTATTAGGGTCTCTTCAGGGCAGATTTTCTCTGAGCTGTTTGGGCTTCTGTGTTCAGGGTGTGAGGTCTCTGAGCACCTTGGGGTGTCTAAGTTCAAAGCTATGTGTACTCTCAGCTAGTTTCTGTTGGTCTCTGTCAGAGATTATGAGGTCACTCAATACTTTTGGATTTTGTGTCTAGGGCAGGATTTCTCAACCTCAGCACTATTGACATTTTGGACTGGAAAATTCTTTGATATGGAGGGCATTGTAGGATGTTTTACTAGTTTGCTAGGGCTGCTGTAAAAAAAAGTACCACAAAGTGGGGCAGGGTGGGGGGGGGGGGAAGTGGCTTAAGCAACAGAAATTTATTGTCTCACAGTTCCGGAGGCTGGAAGTCTGAGATCCAGGTGTTAGCAGGTTTGTTTCCTTCTGAGGGTGAGAACGAGAATCTGTCCATGCCTCTCTCCTAGCTTCTGGTGGTTTGCTGGCAGTCTTGATGTGCCTTGACTTCTGCTGCATCACCCCGATTTCTTCATCTTCACACAGTGTCCTTTGCGTGTGTGCCGCCTGTGTCCAAACTCCCCCTCCCCTTTTTTAATAAACACACTAGTCACAGTGGATTAGGGGCCCACTGTGTTCCAGGAATATGACCTCATTTTATATCTGCAATGGCCCTATTTCCAAATAAGGTCACACTCTGGGGTCCTATGGATTAGGACTTCAACATATGAATTTGAGGGAGGTGGATATAAGTCAACCCATAAAAGATGTTTGGCATGGGAAAGGAAGGAAAGAGGGAGGGAAGAAGGGAGCAGCCCCCCAACATCCAGAGTTGTCCCTGTACTTACAGTTAGGCCATGTATTCTCCTATTAGACATAAACAGAATCTCACAGAATACTAACCTTAGACAAGGTTACTCTGAGACCATGATAGGGTGAGACAAAGCAAAGCTAATTTATAATGTTGTCACAGCACAGACAAAAACTGGTCATTGTGCCACCTACAAGATACCAAACATCCCCCTCTCTTGGTTAAAACGAGTGACTGCTTTTTTTTTTAATACCAATTTCAGCTTTGTTCTCACTCTAGTCTGCCCTTGCTATAGATGAGATTTATTGAGATACCCAGTCATAAAACTGCCCTCACTTTCTGGCATTATCCAATCTAGAGTGAGCTCCACTTCTTTATGGCCTCCCCCAAACCACTTAACTAAAACCCAGATCCTATAATTGGTTCTTACTTCTTTTAAAAAATATTTTATTCATTTATTTATTTGACAGAGAGAGAGGGGGAACACAAGCAGGGGGAGTGGAAGGCAGAGGAAGAGGGAGAAGCAGGCTCCCAGGGAGACTGACACGGAGATCAATCCCAGAATCCTGGGATCATGACTCAAGCCCAAGGCAGATGCTTAATGGACTGAGCCACTCAGGCACCCCACTTTTTTAATTAAATAATTTTTTAGTAATCTCCCCCTATTTTTTAGTAATCCAACATGGGGCCTGAGCTCACAACCCTGAGATCAAGTCACATGCTCTTCTGACAGAGCCAGCCAGGTGCCCCTAATTGGTTCTTTCTGATACCCTCTTACTAAGGCATCTCTTGGCTCCCAAGGTGTGCATTCTCCCTCACTGAACTGAAATGAATAATGAACCCTACTTGTTCAACTATAGGTATGTTCCTGGGGGGTCTTTGGCTAAAGAGCACTGTCAAATGGCATCCCTGATCTCTACCCACTCTTTGCCAGTAGCACCTCTCCCCTCCCAGCTATGACAACCAGAATGTCCTTAGGTATTGCCAGATGTTCCCTGGAGGGGAGGGAGGAGCAAATTGCCTTCTGTTGAGAGCTACTGGTCCAGGGTATGAAGTGTTTGAGGAGCTTGGGGGTGTTTGTCTGAAGTTCTTGTTCTCTGAGAAGTGTTTGGGTCTGTTTCTCAGGATGTGAGGTCACCAGTCTATCTCAAGGTCTCTGCTCCAATGTTTGAGAGCCCTGAGCTCTTTGGGTTGCTGTATCCAGAAAGAGTGATCTCATCACGTGGCAAAATTCAGCCATGAGGCGTTTGGGGCACACACACAGTGCCCTGGCTATATGCCAGTTGAGAAAGGCAATGAGAAATCAGAGTCGTGTGGTAAGTAGTGAACTCCTCCACATGGATTCATAGCCACCCCAGCTTCCTTGTCTGGACCAGGAAATACAGGTGGCCACTTCCTTCAGAACTTCTATCTTTCCCTTTGTTCTAGAGGTCACAGAATCTCCCTTGATACCATTTGTGGAGACTGTGTTGTGGAGAGGTGGTTGTTGTGTTTCCTGATACCAGCCCCAGAGTGGAGAGCCCTGTCTTGGGATAGACATTGCTCAGATGGATGTTGGAATTTTTCTCCACTCTGGCCTCGTCCACACCCAGTACACATGGGTGTTTGGAGCCTAGTGGAACCTGTTTCAGAGCCTGGAACACAAGTCCCAGTTGGGTGGTAGGAGAGTCCAGCTTTTTGGAGCTGGACCTACTGAGGTTTTTGCAAGACTGCTCTGAGTCGGTAGGGCAATGTACAGTCCACATACTTGTACTCTCCATATTTCAGCCCCCTTCTCCCTAATCACACATCCCTTCTGAAAGCAAAATTCAGGGCTGGGGAAAGGGATGAGATACAAGTAAATGACATTTCTGGCCAGGAGCCAGCATGGGTCTGAGACTGTCTCAGTTGGAACATAAGAGTCATGTGCACATATTGGTTACTATAAATGTCTGTTAGGTTCAATAAAGAGTAAATATTCTCCAGAATTATGTTTCTATCTCTAGTTAACCCACAGTTTTACTTCAGCTGTTCCTTTGAGAACATACATAATGGGCTGTGCATCATAAGGCAAGCCTGCACAGTGAGAAAAAACATTGTTCTTGTGAAAATCCGGTTATAAGAGAGATAGGTTTGTACTTTCTCGCGCGCGTGCGAGAGAGAGAGAGAGAAAGAGAGAAAGAGAGAGGGGTGAGGGGAAGGGGAGAGAGAACGAGCATCTCAAGCAGGCTCTATGCCCAATGGGGAGCCACGCCCAGTGGGGAGCCCAGCACAGGGCTCGATCTTACAACTCTTGAGATCATGGCTTGAGCTGAAATCAAGAGTCAGAAGCCTAACTGACTGAGCCACGTAGGTGCCTCCAGGTTTGTACTTTTATGCAAGAGACGGGGTCTGAGCTCTGGAGAAAGGATTTGGGGGAGGCTCCAGAGCATTGGTGAGTCAAAAAAGTCATAAGAGAAGTTAAAAAAATAGTTGGTATCTTTATTTTTTTAAGTAGGCCCCATGCCCAGCATGGAGCCCAACACAGGGCTTGAACCCATCACCCTGAGATCAAGACCTGAACTGAGATCAAGAGTCAGATGTTTAACTGACTGAGCCACCCAGGCATCCCCAAAAATAGTTTGAACTATTTGAACAAATGAAAATGAAAACTTAAAAAATTTGTGGGATACAGCAAAGCAATACTTATATAGAGGAAATTTTTAAAGGCATTTTGGCTTCTGTCTTGCTTTTTCTTGGATCACTAGTGGAAGCCAGCCATCATGTTGTGAGGACACTCAAGCAGCCACATGGAAAGAGAGATCTATGCACCAAAGAACTGAGGCACCCCACCCAACAGCCATCACTAAATTGCCAGCAATGTGAGTGATCCAACTTGGGAGCAAAGCTTCCAGCCCAACTTGAGCCTTCTGATAACTGCATCCTGAAGGACTTAAAGTCAGAACCATGCAGCTAAGCTGCTCTTGAATTCCTGACTCCCCAAAACTGTGTGAGATGATTAGTGTTTGCTGTTGTCTTAAGCTGCTAAGTTTTGGGTAATTTCTGGCATTTCTGAGTTCTTTG